AATTATTTATATTAGGTCAAAGTAAGTTTTGTTCCAAAAGTTAAGACCAATTTTCGGGCTAAAGTCGTTTTGTAAACCACCACCGTCTCTCCGCATGCTCGACTTTCATCACGGTGAAAAAATCAATGGTCGAACTGAGCGGCTTTTGATTTTGTTCCTTCTAGGATAAATATTTCATCAGGATGGGATATTACTTTCCATGTTGTAGGTTTTGATGGGCATTAACACGCTAGATAATGGAGGTAATGGGGAAGTCCAGGGCTGTTAATTTCAACTTGCAAGGCTTTTTCCATACTGAAATGAAAAGATCTGCCGGTGTGTTCTTGCACTATGAAAATTGCTTGCCGTGTGTGTAGAAAGCATTGCGTAGATGACAATGGGATCAAAGGTGTTACTGATGTATTTTTCCCCTTCATCGCTCTCTGATTCAACATTTTTGATGATAAGCTATTCGTTTACAAGCCCCATTGCCAATAGAATGTTTCTTTTGTTGCCTTATTACATCTGAATTATTTGAATTATAAACCCATTTCTACTGTATGTTTAATTAACATGTTAAAGTGATCTATTTATCATTATCTCTTCTATGTTCACTATTGAATTTCGCGTTTCATTTTCTCAATCTTTTTAGTTTTTCTAATCCATGTGTGTAGCTCGTCTACCTTTAGCCTTGGCCACTTTGTCCAATTTGCACGTATTCGCGGCCTTGCCATTAGGTATGTGATCTTTTTCAAATATCTTAACCCCCTGTTACGCTACCTGCGATCTCCTTCTTAAGGCAAACTCTCGTTAATTTTGCCATGAAAAGTCTCCTGCACTGGGAAAATTTGTATGGATTTCAGTGCATTTTTAATCGATTTGGGCAAACCCAAAAGTTAAGATAATAATGCAGTTGACATATTTTGCGTGATTTGCTTTTTTTTCTGCTTTAGTCTGGCGCCAAGTTGAATATTAACTAAAAAATCCAAAGACTGAAATATACCTGGCCATATTTTGGCAACATTTACAAGGTGGTGGGGCAAGCTAAACAAAACAATTCTGGTTACGTTAATGGACCGGCTTCCTGGCTCGTAATGCTTTTACCACTCTTAGAAGCCGCGGTGTCACCCATAATATAGTCCATAACTCCTTAAAAACTGTCAATCATCGGACTTGGCATTTCTTCCGCAGGGCGTAAATTGGTCACCTGGATCGGTTTCTGGGATTCATTGGATGTTTTAGATTGAGTAAAAATTAGCCAAAAAAAATGAAATTTTATTTGTTTCATGGTACCGAAAAGTAATGTAATTCAAGTCAGTTATTTTGTTCATAGAAGTAAGGGTCTCGACAAAAAGTTAATCGATTTGTGCATGAAAATTAACTGTAAAGGAAACCCCCTTTTTATCGCTTAAAGGGTATTTAGCTTGGTAATTTAACGTAAAAAAACACAATTGATAAAATGCCTAATGAAAACGGCCTTTAAAAAGTCACAAAAATTTTAGTATATTTTAAATACCTCTATAATTATAGACCTCTTCGAAAAACCGGGAACAATATCTTCCACATGAATACTTGGTTTCTTTCCTGACTAAGCAAAAAGTTCACGGCCATTTGCTGATTATAGTCCTTAGTATGTTTTTTGGTAATCTAAATTTTCGTTGTTAATAGTAGTCTTTTTTTGATAAGTAAGTAAGTACTGCATTTTTAAAACCTTAAAGATATTATCCCCTTAAGTTTCAGTGATTTGACGTAGAGTTCAATAATTACCATTCATGTTTTCCAAACAAAATAAAAAAGAAAGACGAAAGAAGTGAAAAATATGCATTGAATCCCAACATAAAAACAACAACTCTGTTCAACATTCAAGAACTCTGTTCAATATATCTTTGAATTTCACTCCCCCTCTCCCCACTTACATTAATGGTAGTAAGACCAGTAATCTATGTAGTGTAAGAACAACAAAACATTAGTCTAATGTATGGTGGTTCCTTAATGGTGGCTTTATAGCACTCGATTATACTTATAACACTCACGAGCATCTCTGTAAGTTCTGCCTCTGTACAGATTTATTAATGGCTGGCGTACACCAGATTAGCTTTGATTGTAAACTTGATGGTTATTTTGTCATTTTTGGTGAGTTATGTCATGTTGAGTGTTGCTTGTTTTGTGTTAGTGTTGGCGTTTCAGATTGGGGAGCTAATAAGACCTCTTGGTCGTATCGGTATTAGCATTATTGTAAGTTTTCGTGTTATTTTTCTTCTTCCTGTCGCATTATTATCAATGTTTTGTGGCTTTTCCGTTGAATGCCCCTCACCCATTCCCAACAAAGCTGACTTAGATAAATTATTTATTTTAATTTTGGTCTATGTTTCGAAATGTGTTTAAAAAGCCGTCTCAGTCACTTTTATTTTTGACATTATTTCTATGGAATTGCGGATGATAAAAGTTACTGAGGTCAAAATACTGTCTTGTAGGCTTATTTTCTCTCACTCAAACCTTTAAGATAAGCGGCATCCAAAGAGACCAAGGGTTTTAAATAAAAGTTGCGGTATTCGTGTGGCATCTGTTAATATTCTTTATTTAAGTTCATAAACAGATAATTCAATAAGGTATAGTAAATTTACTACTGAAGGGCCAATTTTTGATATATTGAAATCGAAGATGAAAGAATCTGTAGTTATATCCACTTTCCCGTTCTTTTGGATGTCTCGAATTTCAAAGTTACTTTCTTTTTAAGAAATATTTTCAGCCGCTTTCTTGAATTTTCTTTTTGGATTGGTAGATAAGTTAAAGTCCTCTGTAATATTTCTGAAACTAAAAAATGTGACTATGCGAAAGAAGCTCATAATATTTGCTCGAGTTTCGTGCAATAGCTTAAGCGGAATAACCGAACATTCTTTAAATCGCTCCCCGAAAATATACGCAGGGTTCAGACCGCGCATTGAAGGCACCATCTGTGCGTTTAGCCTCAGTTGCCCCTAGCGAATAAAAAACTCCCGTCCAACCCACCTCAAAACAGCTCCGTGGAATGACGATCAACAGAAAAGCCCCATAAATAATATAAATATTCCCGCGTCGACATAGAAACCTTAATATATATTACCGCGGAGTGCGAAACGCGAGAGGAACTCGTTGCAGCCAACAGGGCGAAAAGAACCCAGGCCATGGCACCATTACATTCACTTTTACCGCGTGGAATGGAGAAGGAGTAAAAGCACCCTTTTATCCAGATTCATGGCAGCAAAACCATCTTAAGCTGCCAACGGCCTGTGTAACGGCGTTGCACGGAGAAATGCCGAGTCCGAGTATTCATCAAAAGACATGAGAAAAACACTTGCCTTCGCGATATTTATGATATGTTTCGTGGAAGAGGTGGAATTCAAGCGTAACCAGAGCCTGGATGTAACGGACGCCTTTCCCCCCAATGTGTTTCTGCCTTCTGGTTGCCACTTGTATTCCTCCCAAAAAGAAAAAAAAAGAAGAGAAGGTACAGGGTCACTGGGACGCTCCTGTGTGCGATATTACCCGCCATTATGTTTCTTAAGAAGAAGATTTGTAGCAATTAATGTCATTTACCTGTTTCTTGTGAATCAAAAACTCGTATGCAAAGTCCGAGCAGTAAAAAGAATGCCTTAAACCCAATTTTATCTTTATTGCTTCAAATTGCCAAACCGATAAATAGGATCAATAAAATGCACCAGAATTAAGCAATTAAATCATTATTAGAAAGATATGTTCCAATATGTCTATATATTTTTCTTCGTTATTTCATAAATCTAAGTATCGAAATTTAGAAAACATTTGTTTTCGCTGACATTTGTCTTATGAAAAAAATGGAATGGTTTTACTCGCTCTCGATTCAAAAATATTTGTTCATTTTTTTTTTTTTTTTTTTTTTTGGCAAACTGTGCTAGTCCGAATTCAAACCATTAATTCCTACATTGAAGTAAATAAATAGAAATACACTTGTTCTCTGTTAATCATCGTATTTTATTTACTTATTTTCACATTTGAATCCCCATTTAAGAGTATCATATAACACACAATATGAATAACATTGACTCTGTACAATATTCCAGCAGTTGGCCACCGATGAGTTCATGAACCCCCACCCCCACCCATACCCACCCGAACCCCCATCTATCATAAACAGCCCCCAAGTCTGTCCATTAGTGCCCCTTGAATAATAAATATAACCGATAAGACACGAAAACCTCAATTAAAAAAAACATTCACTGATGAAATACGTCACATTCACGCTGAAAAAATAAAAGAAAAAAATATAAAGGACTGAGACATCAATCACAACATGAAGTGAAGTATCGATGGAAAGCGCTGGCCTTTCTGTTTACCCGCATTTAAAAAAACAATATGGGGGAAGAACATTGAAGTATACGGCACCTCAATTTGCTATTGTATGTAATGTGTTATAATATCTATAATACGTGTAATGCCCTTTTATGACACCGAACACCAAACTGATATCTGTGGAACTAAGACCCCCCCTCTTTCATTCATTTTATGAAATAATAATAATAATAATAATAATAATAATAATAATAATAATAATAATAATAATAACTGTAATAATTTTTTAAAAAATTAATAGCCGGGTAGCCTTTTACAGATATCTTGGCGATCTTTGTTTCCTCAGTAGCAAAAGAAGTCCTAGATGAATACTTTGAATATTGCGTGAAAACAAATATGACTTAGAATTATGCTATAAATAATGAGAGAAATACTAGCAATTATTGTAACTCGTAAATAATCATTCTAAAAGACTCCATGCAACATCGATGCCAAGGTTACCTATAAGAACCTAAACATAGACGTCAATAGGCCTAGCACTTACTTCACAGCGCAATAAACCCAACTTGAAGGCAGTGAGTCAAATGTCCTAACGCTTGTTCAACACACCACATTGCACAGAATGTATGTAACCTAGATACAATTATCGCCATGTTTTGTGTTGGATTGCTCTATTATTTTGGCAAAATCCATATTTTAATTTACTGTGTCTATTTTCTGTAGTGTTAGATCCCGTTGGTTTTCATGGCATACCTAGAAAATATAGCACCACATTGGCAACAATGATAATAAAAATCAAATACACAGATTCACATCTACTACAATAAAACATGTTTTTTTTTTTTCAAAAATGCCGTAATTCTATACACCAAGAGCACACCAAAGAGGGTGGTAGCTTATGTCATATTAAAGTAATGGAAGCAGTTACACTGCAAATGCCTTTAACAGTGACTGTCTAGGCTAGTTAAACTCGCCATATTATGTGCGCTGATTCCTTGCCGATCTGGATCATTACTGTATCATAATTGTGTCTTCTGTATTGAAATAACGCCATAGTCATGTCTTATATCCCAACATTGATAAAACAGAAAATACTGATTAATATATCTGGGATGTAGTTAATACGATCGTACACAGCAGGTATGAAAATGGTTGCTTACCTGAAGAAAATGTGGTACCAAGAAATACACTCCAAAGCATAAAAACTATTCATTCTGTTGATTCCCGCGTCTTCGAACTGTTATCAAAATATACCTTGCTATTTTTCCAACTCTTAATGTCAGTGATATTTCTTAGAATAAACAGACTATCATGTACGACATAGAGAAGTGGACTTATTTCCCAAATTATTTTACCCTTGTAATAAACAAAATAAAAAGCACCATTGATGGCATCAGCAAATATTTCTACTTAGTCTACTCTCCATTTTCACATTCTAATAAAAAAGTCAACCATAACATGCCGTCCTATATCGGCATTGAAATATAGGGTAAAAAATTACCGCGGGTAGCTAATTTAAATTAATCCAATATGTATAACTCTTTAATCTGCTCTTAAGACTTGCTTAAGCTTTATTTAAATGTTATGTGATTATTACCAATGTCTACCCTGAAGAATAACATTATAACTATCAAAACCTTTTGATCAACTCATTAATAAAAAAAAAACTTATTTCATACTTTTCACACTTGGATAAAAAATCTATTGTCGAAAGGGATTTTTCCTACTTTTCTTGGTTTTAGCTAACTTGTCAATATAAAGATGAAGGTCGTATATGATGTCAAGATTGTGTCAAATGTCAAGGTCAAAGTTAGTATTATACAGCGTTTGTTTCGCATTTGACGTGCGAGAGACAACCTGCACGTGAGTATTTGTGCTTGCGTGTTTTCTCTGCTCATCCTGCCAATTTTACGACATATAACGACACCCTGCCGTACATAGGTCGCAATCCACATTCCTTCTGCAAGATGCACATGCAATAGAAGTCAAACTTCTAGTCAGGTTAATAACAAATGCTACGTTCTCTTTCTCAGAAAGGGTCCGCCAGACTTTTTTCACATTGCCTCGTCAAATCTGTTTCACAGAAACACTGGTAGATTTTGATTCTTTGGTCTTTTGATGATCTGCTGCCAAACACACTCCAATGTCGACTAAACAGTTGTTCTAACTTTGGTAATGATCGGGGTCAAATGTCATGGCCCTCTCTCAATTATTTGTTACTCTGTGGAGAATTACTGTCCGTATTATTGTTATTGGTTTTGATGCTAGTTTCGTCAATTTTTTGATTAGGCCCTGTAAGTTTGGGGATGTTGTTTTCCTTCTTCCATTTCATACGTCTGTTTTGGAACCATATTTTGATCTGCCTCTCTGTAAGTCCAAGATGGTGGGCAATTTCTATCCGCCTTCTTCGTGTGAGGTATCTGTTATAATGGAATTCTTTCTCCAGTTCCAGCGTCTGGTACCGCGTGTACGTCTGCCGCGTGCGTTTCTGTTCGTAGCCAATCTCTGCAGAAGAAATAATGACAATGAAGACTCATATTACGTATGAAAACAGCATACAAAGCTTATTCAAACGGTTAAATTTGATATTTTGATTTTGTCTTTAATCAAACAGATTAAGAAGTTTGCCTATAAATACCATTGCCTCTTCTCAAATACGCACCAAATATATTTTACACAACAGGTACCAGTTTATATATATATACATACACATATATATATATATGGGGTAAATTCTTACTTCAAAAATACGAAGATAAGTCACTTTTTTGTGTTCTTAACTGAAGTCAATAATGTAAAAAAAACGTCTCATTTAAGATTCAAATACATTTTTGGGCTTAATTCTCGTAAAGCCGGTGTCATATAAACAAGGAATATTTTTGATGCCATTACAGAAATAACAGACTTGCGTAAAACGTTAAGCATAAACTTAAATCACCATAAATAATGAATTGCGAATAGGGCATGATTTTCACTAATTCTCAGCTAAAATAGGAACACTAATGCTCGTTGTGGCGTAAGAATGTTAGGTCCCAAAACATTCAGTGGGCATACTGTACATACTTTAATTGCAATTTAACGGGAAATCCCGTTAACATGGTATTATTTCAATAATTTCCAAATATCTTTACAGTCGTAAAATCTGTTGCTTAACGCTCAGTAAAATATGCACATTTGATTTTTCATTTTTGAACGGCTTTGAAATACGGCCTTAAGTTAGTGCTATTTTATTCCATTTTTCGTTTTAGAATTTATTTCTGATAGATCAGCTTAACGCATTTCCCCGTGACAAGTTGATTGAACTGGGTCAACTTGTCCATTTGCTGGTAGAGATAATAATTCTGTATATAGCTTGTACCATAGAGTCGGCAGATATAGCGCATTACCCCATAGGTTAACTAATAACCATTCTCTTTTATATATTTCATTAATTTTGTACACGCTAAGCCTCGTTATTTCGACACGATACGAAGTACATTTCTTCAATTTTTTTTCGATGAAAAAATGAAATAATTTAAATATATTATAAAGATTATATCACTTCGTGCATTTACTTTGAAAGCGGACTCCTGTTTACGAATTCCACCGAGTGTTCAGGTCATTTCTTTATTATGGTCATTTCAGATTTTTAACGAGAGAATTGTTACCGCAAATGGGATCAGCTTTGAGTTGAACCGAAAACAAAATTCAAACAGAAAAAAATACAGCTCTGCCAAATAAAATGAGTCGGTGATGGAAATGATGGAAGACATGAACAAAAAAAAAAAATAGGTGAGTTACAGATATTTTTCTGAACCTGTTTTATGCCACCCTTAGAAAATAGTCCTACGAGCACCAAGTACATAGCGTTTTAACGGGTAATAACCTGGCACAGAGAGTAGTACACATTAGCGTGTTGGGAGATTTTGACAGTGGTTCATGGGACCCGTTTACAGGTGCTCTAGGTCCATTAAACCAGGTGTTATCAAAACATCAATTTCCCTCCCCTGGAGTGTCTTGATAAAATTGTTTCTGTCTATCGGTGGCCAATCAGTGTCATTTTAAAGCCCTGAAATTAACTAAAAAGACACCTATCCGTGCCGTATCATAATTTGAATCCAATTGAAATCAAGAAAAGCAGTAGCGCTAGATAAAAAGAACTACCCTAATATGTCATCCCATGGTTTACCTGTGAAAGCTCCCCAATTGAGGACGCCGGCGGCTTGCTGTGTTCCATTAAAGTAGTTTTTAAAGAAAAATTTTCCTTATAGAAAAATTATCGTTGGTAATGTTTTTAACGGGTTAGATTTAAATAGAAAAATCAACCACATCAAGTGTCATGTAAATTTTATACAGTTGGGTGTAGCTTTTTTTGAAAAAGTCCAATTATGTTTAAATATTAAAAAGTTACACCCAAATTTAATTCTAAAGTTGTAAATGTGTCCTGAGTTACCTTAAGAAGAGTGGGCCTACGTAGGATCTCTGCTTAGAAAAATAGTAGCAGTATCGTTTAGAGTGCTTCCTCAATTAACAGGTTTTTATTTGAGTTGCATTATTTTTTATTTCCATAATACCCAGTTTTACTAGCAATGGTCGATCTGCAATGCTGTTTGAACCCCATCCCAGGTTGACAGTTAAGGGGGGAGTCAAGGAAGACCCTTTTAAAGAAAATCACCAAAATCTTTTCTATTTAACGAGTTTATGAGGGCCTGAAAGTCCCGTTCAACTTGGTGCATTTTGTCAGAGAAAACACGGCACATATTTAAAGCCACCACTCATCTATGCATGCATGTAATCGCCGTTTTCTTTTAGTCTTTTTTGGTTTCATTTTTAAGCTTACAAGAAATTCACCATAAAAATCACTGCATCACCAGCTTCAATGTTTTACAGAATACGAAAAAAGAACGACAGAAAAAAGATGCCAGCGCTAAAAATCTACAAAAACCGGGTTATATAACGGATTGCTTTCTTTTCAGTGTTAGACTATACTCTGGCCGCAGTACAAAATATTCAGATACTCGCACAATATGTGTACAAAATTATGAAAAAGAAATTAGAAATGTAGGTTTAAAGCTATAAATATGATAGATAGAAACAAGCAAAGAACGTCATTCATTTCACTAATTTGTTCATTCATTTATTCATTCAGTTATTTGTCCACGTTTTCTTTTTTATTCATCAGCCGAGAAAATTGCATCGTTGAAATAAAGAATAAATGTTAATATCAACCAGTTTCATTATTATGGTGAGATTATAGGCAGCAATAACCACCATTTTTCGATTATTTTTGTTTTCAAACCACCCGCAATAAACATGATCTACTGCAGTAGCCCCTAAGCTCGCATTCCGAGCTCATTATCTAGCAATGATCCAGATTATTTACGCCGAGTAGAAAGTACTGTTTTCTTTGCTAAAAGAATCTCATTATTTCACTATAACCACATCGCAGAGGAAGAAAACGCGTGTACGAACCAAGCAAATTCATTTCATAAACCTCCACCGGCTAAAACCTCAGGGATAGCGTATTCTGGTTTTTATAGGGAAAGTACGACTTACGAAAATGGGGGAATGCCACCACTACCGGTGCTAGAAATACTTCAAGAATGCTGGCAATTTATCACAATTTGAAATATTCATTTTCGGCGATAAGTTGAAAAATTTATATGCATTTTTTGTTTGTCTGAGATGAGGTGTCTCAAAAGGAATTTTCGAGGTTCCCGTGCCGCTCTCATGTACGTCTGAGAGTATTACTGAAATGTAGCCGTATTTAGAAGCTTCATAACATAAATGCTGCCCTCCAGTTGATTTCATACATTCATGTTTTATGGGTATTATCACTGTAACTTAAAGCGCTGTTATTAGGGGTGTTTATAAATAAACTAAAGAAATCATTTAGTCTCAAGCGAGGTGGATGTTACGTTGACGAATATCATAGCATCCGCCTGATAATTCAACAAATATTAATTGAAATAAAATAACCTTGAAAAGTCTTTTAAATCCTTTTACATTATTTATACTGTTTATTTAGTTTAAAGGTGTAATCATTCTATCAATTTTATCATACAAATCATACAAACGATTTTCTGGAGGTGATTTAAATTGAAACACTGTGGATGAAAACTGAATGTAATATTCATTTTAATATACGTGTCATACCACCTTTTTACTATATCAAGTGACGCCAAACAATGCGATAGCCCGTGATAAATACTGCTGTGGCCTTCTGAAAGAAACCCTTAAGATAAAGAAAAACTTTTTTTTTTTCGAAATTCAGAAAGGCCTTCTCAAAAAGACAAGGTTCTAACCTTTCTAAGATCAAAGTTACAGACCCACGTTCACCAGAGGTGGCCCATAGGATCATCAAAACCGATTGAGATGTGCATCTAACTGATAACATCAGCGAAAATGGTGACAAATTTTACGCGCAGATTGACTACCTTAACACGGCCAAGGTAATCAAGTCAAAGCGGGAAAGCTCTTTGAAGTTGCCGCCCCACCTGTGACGGGTGAGCGGCCGCCATTTTGATCAAGGTGTACGGTCATGGTTTGTTAATCACGGCGATCGCTCGGCCGGACAAAGGTATTGTCCTGATAAGAGGTGCACAGAGCACCGTGCTTGCCCCCATCGTGAGCCAACCCTACCGTGAAGCTCGGGTCCGACAGCGCGCTTTCCACCCTACACTCTCTGAAGATAAATGGCCACCGGCACCACGCGCAACAATATCAACAAAGTCAAAGAAAGATGCACTAAAATCACCTTTGTTTTGCTTCCTTTCACTGATATCGATCTACTTTTATGGACAACTATTATTATTTAGGAAGTAGAACGGTTTCTAGCTCTCATTGCCCCCTCATGATCATAGAAAAGTTTCTGGATTTACCAGTCTACGACTGACTGGTTGTAATCCTATATACTCACTTTCAATTCCACAGTAAACATCTGAAGAAAATTACTAAGTTGAGCCCCTGCAAACAAACATCAAGGTACATTGAGGTTGTTTACAAAACGCGTTTTAGTAATTGTAGAGAAAGCCACAAATCAAGCTGCATGAAAACGATACAGACTAAGCATCATTTAAATGTCTCAGAAATAAACCAAACAAACGATTGTTTTATCTCAACGATCATAATGGGTAAACAAATGAGAATGAGATACGAACATTTCAAAGCAGAACTTGATTGAATAAATGGGTGTCTAGAGTAAAAATTACTTTAAAAAGAACTTGGATATTCAGTAAGGTTTTCAAAAGGCCGTTGTGTATTTAAGAAGATATCGCAGTAATTCAATGGCCATCTAGCCCATTATCATAATTGGAAACCATTTTAACTGACGGTGGTCTTCGGGCAAGGAAGAATAATGGACAGACGAAAGTTTCAGACGTTAGTCTTGTCTGCCTCTGTGTCATCTATGAAAACCTTTGCTTCCTATTTAAAAATCGTTTAGTTCCTTAATTTTAATTGTGAAATTAAAAATTCTGTGCCAGCAGTTGGTCAGTTTTTTTTTTCTGTGCCATTTTAGAGGCACCGGAGCAAGACGGTTAACTGCTTAGAAAATTTGCATCGATCCATGAGACACACTCAAAATCACTGGAGAACTCACTGCTTCAGATATGGGTATCATGTTGTTTACTTATTTTATCCATCTGAATGTCGTTTCATTTTCATTAATTACACTGTTTTCTTTAAAAATCATTCAGACACTTATGTTTACCACAGACAAGAAACTTCTTTCTTACTTAAACTTTGGTCAAATGAAGTAGAATCAATCAAAATATGTGAATGATTATTTCCACTCTTTTAGCTTGACGTGAATTATTTATTATTATTTCATTTTAATTTTTAACATTATTATTATTATTATTATCTATTTATTTATTTATTTTCTTGCTTTGCTTAATCTTTTGAAAATATTCTTTCACAAAAAAAAGAAAAACTAATATTATTTTTATACGTATTTGGAAAAAATCTCCGAACAGTTGTCTTCCTTATTTATGTTTTGTATCACTCTTTGTAGCATATGTTTGTAAATGCTTGTGGTGGTCTCTAAGTAATATTAAATGCTTTTGATGTGTTCACATAACGTGGGAAGGAAGCTCAAGCAAAGAGCGACAACGGACACTCGTAGCTAAAACAGAATTTAACAAATTATAAACTTAATTTAGACATACGCCTTATTCACCGTTTCTAAACACAAGAAGTGTGTCATAAGTTAGAATTTATTGCTTTGATAATTGATATTTTTAGTCTGGATAATGGTTGACTTCCACTGTAATTTAAACATGTATTAAATTTATTTCGTCTACTAAACCATTCTTATACAACACGGAGGATGAATTTGGAGCCATGTTTCCTACAAGGAAAACAACTTTTTTAAAACGGAACTGTTTGTCAACCCGAATCCACCGTTTCACCTGCAGTATTGTGGTTAAACAAGTTGAATGTGGAGCCCTGTTCTTCTCAGTTGCGAGGGAAAACAAAGCAAATCAGTGGCCACATGCGTGAGTCAGGACTTTTGCTTGTGGGCGGTGGGAGCGCTGCGGAGATTATCGAGATTACTGATTAATACAGTAATTCATCTAGATAACTGTTTCCAAGACGACAGCCAGGAGGGTCAGAGAAGATGACCATTTTTTCCGCACAAATATATATATATATATTTTTTGTTTGGTAAAAGTATTATCTCCCCTCCTCTTTTCTCTCTCTCTCTCTCTCTTTCTCTCTTTCTTCTTCTTTTCACACTCTCCCCCCCTCTTTCTCTATTTCTTTCTGTTTCGCTACATTTTCCTCTTTTTCTTCTCTCTCTCTCTCTCTCCCTCTCTCTCTCTGTCTGCCTGTACAAACATCCTTAACACAGTGAGCGTGCTTGTTACAAACAAGACAATACATAATAATGTTAACATAATAAGCATAAGCATTTGTAACCTTGCAAAAATATTCTGTCGATATGAGTCTTTGCTTTCCTCTCCAATGTATGCATTATTTGCGCTGCCATTCGCACGTTTATTCAACACACCTATTTAGGCCTGTTTCGACAGTCTAAAAACCGTTTCTGTCTTGCGTCTATTAAATCCTTCTTCCGTCAATGTATAAGCCACGATAAACCGCCCAGATTTATAGTTGCTTTACCACCAGATCTTAATGCCTTGATACAAAACATTCTGCAATCTTCAATCGTGTTCCTCCACCAAAATAATTAGGACAATGCCTCTGTTAACTACCATTATAGAACTAAGGTTACCATCAAACATAACCGAGCACATAAATATGGAACACAAGCTTAAGGAACGTTTTAGACGATAACCATCGGTAGTTTGTAATCATGTTGTGCGATTAAGAAACTCGAGAATATATTTTCTATAAGTAATAATAGCCTGCTTAACTACCCGACCCAATTAGATTCATAGGCCGTTCGTAACAGTTATGACCGCATTAGAGCCATTATCGCGACTTTTACGATGAAAAATGTTACACAGTTCCCCCGTTTTCTATCAGGCTTGGCTATAAGAAGTAGGTACGACAATAACAGACTAACAAGAAAGATAAATATATTCCAGTGATAACTAAGCACACGCAATTCGGGATCCAGCTTTCGAGGCGAGCGCGAGCCTCGCGGTGCGTTTTTGGCGCACTGGAACTCGAAAAGAGATTTTGGAAAAGTTTTCTGACGACGATGTTGACAATGATGTTTACAAGTGGATTGTGTATATGTGATATTTGTCATAAGGAACCTATAAAGACAATCAAAATGACACGCGGTGACAGAGACCTCAACTACGTGAGTGAGTTTTGCGACAGCTGGATGAAAGCCTTCCAAAAGCGCCTCTGCGCATTGTTATTTGCTGCTCTAGAAATTTCACTTACAGTTCAAAAACTTTTTTCCCCGAAAGATGGATTTGACAACACTGAATATGGCGGGATTGTATCACACAGGATTAACAGATATAGCAATTATTTTAGTAGTAAGTATCGTACGTGGGTTTGTTAATTTTTTCTTTTTTTTAATTTTGACAGACACTAGGGTTCTACAAGATTTTGTAAGTTTTAAAAATTTCAAATCATAAATCATTCTTGTTCATGTTTTAATGGTGAGGTGTACCAGAATATGTTAAATAATTATTTCAATTAAATTTGATATTCTGTACACCACTGCTAGAGATTCAGCTTGATTTCAGTGTAACTTCAAGATAAATAACCACCATGATTCGAGACTACGGCTGACAAATTTTATTTGAATGATATAAAGATTAGAAAAATTTGAAAATCTAAATTGAAAGAAAAAAATGCCATTCTTTATGTCGTTGGTACCAAACGCTGACTGACACCCACAAAGTATGTCTTTGTTAAGTTGGACTTTAAATATCTAAATTTTTCCTTTTTTTCTTTTTTTAAGATTATGTCTGCTGGTAGAACGGTTTAAAGGGCTGAAACAACCTAACGCAAGAATTTTAGCATTATCTTTATCTTGCTATTTACATTTATTTAAATTAACATGATTTGTTCTTTAAACGTTGTTTCTATTTTTTATATATTTCAATCTATACATTATGTGCGACTTTTCAAAAACTAGCACCAAATAAATGTCGCCCTCGGATTCAACACACCGGCACAATTTTCATTATTCTTTGTCTTTCGTAAACAAATAAGATTCAATTTAATATGCAATCGCTTCATAACGACACAAACAACCGACTTAAAAGCTCTTGACATTGACCTAGTATAAATTTGAATTTCTAAAAGCGCGTCATAAATCTTCTCTCAACTTTTGTTCTCTGCTTAACAAGATGAGCTCCCCGTCCGCAATGGCTCAGTGTATGAATGAATTTCAATTTAAGACATGTAACCAGAACGGCACATAATTGTGATTAATAGAAGTAGGCACGGTTTAAATCAGCCACCGTCCGACCATACCCTCTGTCCTAAATTCAGATGATGTATAGATTAAAATCCCTCCATCTAAAAACAATGATAGACCCAAAATGTCACCCAAAATACAGTGGTGTCTTGTAACAAGTCTCAGACGTCAGTTATCGGTGACAAATATACCGGAGACAGAAAACGGGGCTGTGAAGTGAAAATAGTAAAAAATGCTCACGGCTCACGTCCCTGCCGTAGTAGGAACTTACACTCGCTGACTGGGCTATAGGATTTTCACTTCATCTGGGTATGCTGGTATTACACATGCATATCGGAGGCTATTTCCCACCAAATGGCCCTTTTAAAGGCCACATTAAATTTCCCCATTTTAAGGACCATTTCATATTTCACCAATATGAGACGGTTGCAGACCATGTAAAATCTCTTCATCTTAAGTGGTGTTTTATATTTTTACTAACAGCCATTCTGGCATCATTATATCTGTACTATTTAACTACAAGAATAAATACATATTTGGCCCCTGTACATTTTGAGGATCATTTAATACATCACCGACATCAGAAGGTTATTTTAAGCCTTTCAAGGCCCATTTAATATTCCACCGACATTTTGAGAAAATTCGCTCTGTACGTACCTCCATTAAGGGAACGCATCCAGGGATAAATGGGAACACTCTGAGGGGGTGGGGTGTTGTTGATCAGTCCCATGTGGTTATAGGCCGAAGATGTCATGCTGCTGACGGACTGATGGTGATGCGACTGGGCCGCACTCGTAAACGGGCTGTCCTGAAATTTGTTGAGGCTGTCGGGGTATTGCCCGTTGTGCATTCCCGGTGGGCTGAACCCCAGGCGCGCACTCTGGTAAGGGTCGATCATATGGGGTGCGTCGAACTGCGATTTGCTGCCCGTGAGGGGGTCCAGTCGGTCCGAAGAGCTTGGGAAGCGGGACAAGGCCCCCGGTGCCATCTGCGGATGGTGGAGCTCTCCGTCGTAAACTTGGTACGCCGGGTTTTGCGCTCCGTAAAACGTAGACTCCATCGCCTTAACCGTGGAATCGTGAGTGCCGCTAGCCGGACTGTACGGGTCTCCAACTGTACCCGGAGTAGATAAATTAGGGGGTAAAATATTACTGTAATACGAACTCATAATACCTCGACGATTTGCAAATGATTTGTAGCGAGGCTCAATGTGCTTTTAAGCATCAACCTAAAACCATCGTTATATCCAACACCAATCTGGGGTCACGTGACGCCATGCTCCAATCAACGCGCAGCTTTCCATGACGTTCGCGGCATTCATTATGATCGCTAGAAGGATTTGCAATGTCACGGCCCACTGTCTTCATACCCCCTTCCCCCCAAGGAGAGCGAAAATGCTTCATTTATGAAATGGATAAAAAATTCGTTGTTTCTTTAATGAAAAGCAAGCATGATTTACAAGCGTATATGTGTATCCTTCGTTTTCCTTTGACACGGCGAGCAATGATTAAACTTTGAAAGCCAAATGGCAATAAACATGATATAGTGGATAGCATTATGGCGCTTTTATTTCTCCCATTTCATAACATAGGCACATTCTCTCGCTGTTTCTCAAATTAATTCCCAATCTACTAGGCAGTCTCAAGACGTCCACAGGAAAGCGACTGGGTTTTGAATGGTCATGAGGGCAATCTTTTAAAACCTGACTGCGTTGATTAGACTAAATTGGACTAATATTGGAAAGTCTCCATGGACGTATAGGACTAGGGGTTTGGCGATGGCTTGTGAGTAACAGATGATCTGATGAGAGTTTGATCCTCTATCTGTCTGATTCTCTGTCTGTGTTCTCCCTGTCTCTCTCTCTCTCTCTCTCTCTCTCTTTCTTTCCAGACATAATCTCCAACCCATGCTTATAAGAACGTGTACGCGGTAAACGTGCTTCTTACTTTAACAACGATCATGTCGGCTTAATGAACTTGGGTATTAGCAAAAATATATTTTTGGCAATATCAGTTATTCAAAGTATTATGAGTTCTTCCTTCAGGTGTTCCACCTTTAAAATGTAATATTTATTTTGGTATCATACCTAGGCCTTCATACAAGGGATTTTGTCAATACAGAAATTGACTTACTAATCCAGAAATATTATTTTAATATGGAGAAATGTGCATAGGGACACCATTGATCGAGCTCTTTAAATTTGAGCCCGAAAGAAAATCAAACGTAATAAATTTGACTTCTGGGTACCTGTTTTATACTTTTTATGTACTGAAGATAGTAAAGGATATTTCACTGAGAGCGCAATCTGTATATGTATTTTGAGAGAGAGAGAGAGAAATACGTTGTATTTATTCCACAGACTTCGCTAACAAGGCTGAGATATGTACATATGCCATTTGCATCTACACGGTAACTGGTAAAATAGACCTATTTATTCAAAATAAAAACAAATTTGATGAATCTTTTCAAAATAAAAAATTTGAATACATTGTGTGAACTGAATTGGCTGTGCTGTAAACTTAAGTACATTTTCCCTTTATTATTATTATTTAGTTTTTATTTTTTGGATTATATATTACAATTGTTTTATCGTGAAATAGATGCCTTAAAGTAAAATCATCTCCAGTGAATGAATTTGAGATAATTGATAAAAAACTAAAACACAGAGAAAATAAAACAAAAGTTACCCAAAGAAAGACAAAATCGTTCTTCGGCGGTTGGTCGAAAAGAGATGAATTGCATACTTTCAAATAAACTGCTTCAGACTTTGATCTTAAAGGCTCAAACGGCAGAAATTAATCCACATAGCCTAACCGCTGTTAATGGGAGAACGGCTGACTTCTGCTGGTCTGAGCTGATCACTTTTTAACTTAATTAAAACAAACAAGAAACTTGGGGATACAAGTACAACTCGCACGCTGACCCGAAGTCTAAAACACACAGGAGCGCGTCTAGCGCAGACCAAGGGAAGCGCGTATGTTCCTCGACCTCTTTGAGGGTCGTAAATCGTCCGTGTAGAGCATTACTTTCAAATTTGATAATTTTCGGCGGCCCTTTGATTCATTCAATCTCTATTGTGTGCCTCTTTACCCGGTAATGAACGCTCTTTGTGTAGCAACGATATCTACTATCACGGCTACTCACCGAGTTTTTATTCGAATTGTTGTTTCTTGGTTTGGGGAAAGTCATGAAAAAGAAGGGAAATTAATGCATGGAACGACCCGGCGTAAATTTATCCTGATGATTAAAGGAAATTAGTGAGGTTTGGGGCAATTCTGATAACACTCTATGACAAATTTATATATTTGTACCTAAGTCGGGGTAGAAAAAGGTTCGGTGAGTGCATTTCTAGTATTTCCCAGTGTGTGTGTGTGTGTGTGTGTGTGTGTGTGCATGTGTGTGTGTGCGCGCGCGCGCGCGCGCGCGCGCGTGTGTGTGTGTGAATATGCCCTTGCGAATTAAGAAGCATTTTTCTAATTGTGCTGAAGCCCCTTATAAAAACCCGGCACAAAAACAATTTTGTTTCTAAGAAAAAAAATGAATAAGATTTGAGTTACTTTCATTTTTCCCATTTTCAGTCACTCTCGTTCGTTACAACAAACATAGTATTTTTTACGTGAGTTTACGTCAATCCCCGTCTTACCTAAACATGTAAACAACTAACAGAAATAACAGCTGTGGAGAAGGCGAGGTAAACACTCACTCCAAAGTACGTCATTTCTGTACTTGAAATGATGCAATGAATTTATGAGATAATAACTACTGAGGAGGTATCATGTCTTTTATTGTCATTCAATATCATCTTTAATAATAATAATAATAATAATAATAATAATAATAATTGTTGTTATTATTATTATTATTATTATTATTATGTGATATTACTTTTAATAACTTCATTCAATTACATTTAATCTGATTTATTTATTTATTTATTTATTTATTTATTTATTTATTTATTTATTGTGACCCATCTGTCTTATGCATGTAGTAAATCGACTTCAGCATCACTCTCCAAGACAAAATACGCGGGGTTACATTACTGAACTTTTCAAACTTTACCATCGCATTTATACAACTAGAACATACTCATTTGATGAATACCAAAATTCAAACCTGAAAAGTCATTTCGGACAATTTGTTTTTTCTGGTTTATTCAAAATTGGATAATTTCTTTACAAACAAAAGGACGCTTCTAGAGGGTTCTATTTTGAGTTTAAAACTCGCCATTAAATTAATGTAGCCTTACAGCTTGATGTAATTTTAGTTCAACTGTCATATTCAGAAACGAACGATAAATCATCAGTGACTTTTGACATGATCGATTTTTAAGATATTCTGTAAAATAATCAAATAAACACAACATTATATTTAGACACTATCATTTTCTTTTCTCCCAATTTTCTCTCTTTTTTATTAATTGAATTCTTAACTTCCCACTATATACCAAGCATTGACACCTCTCTGTCCTCATTTTACATTGCCCATTATGGTTTTCACACAAAATTAGAATTCCTTATTCCTTACCTCGGGAGACGGGAAATATAGGTCACGCACTGTTTCTTGCAAGTTAGTGGCTTATGAGATTCTTCTCATATTAGGGCGCTCCATGACAACCGGCGATTAAAAAAGATTAAAAAGAAGAAGAAAAGAAAAAGAGAAAAAGGAAAATATACACCAACAAGCAGTACAAAAAATTACTTAAATTCATATTTTTATGCAAGATTAAAATGTGCTGTGAAAGTGCCCAATGATTTGATTTCATATTATCTTATTAACCTAGGCAACTTACATGTACATGCATATTGATATCCAAAAGGCACAGTAGAGATACATAAATATAAATAATATTTAAGATTTAGCTTTATATGTGTTGTGAATTCGTTAATCTGCACATGAAAATACTGAACGCCATATATGTTGCCGTAACTTATTTCACAGTCTGAGAAAATAAGAAAAATAAGAATTGATGTTTCCCAGGGTACTGTTGTCGTTAAATTAACACCCACCACTACTTGTTAATACGGACAATGCAGCCCTGTAAGAAAAATTCTATTGGGTTTAAAAAGTTTTTTCTTCTTTAATTAATAACGAGGGAAAACCTGTCATCTGTTTCATCGAAAAATAGCCTCATCTGTTAATTAAGACCGCTCTCAGCGCAACGCTCATCCAGGGTCTTCAATATACGTCTCCTTTAATGGCGGGCTTTCATTAAAAAAACTCAGGCCAGATAATAACCTAATGCATTCCGGGCGACAACATATCACAGGACATTAGGGTGATTTATTTCGTTTCAGTAATTGCTTCAAAACATGCACATCGACAAATGAAGACGTGTCGAAACCCGGGGCCGAAATGATAGTGGGATTCTGAAACGAGTGAAAACGACACTTTTGCGGTCCTTAACGCAATATTTAAGTGCCATTGGTGGGGTGATTGTAATAAAATAAAAGCTAGAGTTGTAGAAAGCAAAGCGTGAGTCCGAGATATAGAAAATGAATGCCTATACCATATCAAAACGTTTAAAATTACGCCTTAATATACAGAGACGCTGTACTTTGCAATTTCTTTAAGTGTAATTACTATCTGATTGTAGAAATTTGTGAAGTAAAATGCATCCTATGTAGCCTACCTTACTACTGAGTTTTAGAAATCACTGGCATCAGTTGTTCAGCATGCTATGCTCAACGGGTTGAGCAGGGACAATTTACGTTAAAATGATCTGTATACTTTCATATAAAAAGTACTATTTAAAAATTAATTCCCTTATATTTACACTGATGTTCAAACATACCGATTTTGCAGTATGGTCCTATTGTACCTACATGTACATCATGCATACAAGAAGGACGAATAAATAAATAAACAAATAAATAAATAAATAAATAAATAAATAAATAAATAAATAAATGAGAATATTTAAGATAGGATGCTATGTTCAAACGAATTGGCTTTGATGTGTTGAAGTTACGTTTTAGCTTATTTTAAATTAAATCATTTGATTTATCACCTTTTCCATTTTTGTTGGCATTGGATCAATAGAATAATATGCTATCTTCTTACTTTGAGAAGTGAAATTAAATCACTATTTCTACACAGGATAGTCTGCTGTTTTAAATATACGGAAATAACACCGAGAAAAAAAAACATACAGTGCTGACATGTATGTGCGCGCTCGCGCGTGTGTGCGTGTGTTTTTTCGCGTTCAGCTTGAGTACGAATGGCGAGGGCGCAGGGTGACTGAGCTCATTTTTCATTGAAAACAAGGGAAAAGAGGGAAAAAAAGAGAATGGTCATATATTAATGTCCTTATAATTTCCCTAATACAAAGT